TTTTTTTGAATTTCAGAGGAAGTTTCGATACATCTGTTCGACAAAATCTTCTCTTTTTTTTTGTTTTTTTTGTTTTTTTTGTTTTTTTTGCTACTGTTGGTTGATGAGTAATAAATAGAAGGGTGAAAATCGAAATTGGAATGAAATTCATGAGAATTATGAACAAGACGCCTGGATATGAAATTATTTTCAGTATATGTTATGTATATGTTCGGTATATGTTCGGTATATATATATATATATATATATATAGGGATGCGCTCCGGTGAGAATAGTCCTCAATGAAAGAAATAAGAATACATCATATCCATCAGATTAGAAAATCACACGGCTAAAAAAATGACAATTTTTCACGCTTATTAAGGCTAAAATAGTCATTGCACAATCCACACGTAACAACCTGGGCCCATAAAATCTCATTCACCCCTCCATTCTCTCTCTCTCTTTCTCACACAAAACACACACTTATTCCCTGCACACACACACGTCACATACTAAACACATACCTCCACGACCGTCTGTTCAGCCGTCGTCCACCGCGGATACGCCACCAGCACACCTGTCCAATCGCCACCGACTTACTTCTCCACCGTCGTCACGCCACCAGCACACCGGTCCAATCGCCGCCAACTCACTTCTCCACCATCGTCTTACCTGTACCCGACCTCGTCGTCCTCCCATCAGGCACCGGAGATCGCCACCGCACAGACACGGCTCGTCATGACACAATCTGTAGTCTCCGACCTCGGGCGCCCACGGACTCAGCTGTGGAATGACCTAGCCGAGATGAAATTAGTCACCTCCCGCCGCCGCCCAAATTCTCCAGCGGCGCCCAAAATTCTCCGCCGCCGCCTCATAGAGGTTGAATCAACAACGGACCAGTTAAGAGACGAGCAGATGGCTGTTGAGGATTAGACGTCATAAAATAGCTTGTCGGCGCAGAAAATATCCGGCTGCGGCTGTTGGTCGAATTTCGAAGCTCGGGGATTTGGATCTGGCAGCGGAATTCTGACGATTGATGCTCGTCAACGACAATCCCATCCTACAAATCCTACATATTCAGTCCTTGATGCCGATAATCGCGATGATGACGACGACAGAGCGGATAATAAAGAGGCAGAGGGCGGCCATGGTCGAGACTCCAGGAGATCGATGTATACACACAAGTGGGGACGGTGATTCAATTGATTGGGCTCACAATTGAAAATTAGACACATGTGAAGGACTTGGGTGTAATTTTGTAAATTTTATTATATTCCAATTTAATCCATGAGTCTAATTTGTAAGTTACAAAAAAAATTTAATAAATACACATTAATAATAATCTAAATGCACGGTATACGTACATATACTATATGTACGTATATGTGCTTTAAAAAATACATATACTAAAAAATACACAATAAAGTTATGTTAACTGCACATTAACGATTTATAGAATGCATATTACCGTAACGGTGCATTATGTGTGTTGAACATTTATAATATTCGGTCTACAAAATACACAAAATCGACAAAGAATGATCGAAACCGATCGCAATAAAAAATTTTGGTTTTTTTTTTATGTCAATTATATTATCGAAGTTTACTTTTAGTTATTTTGGTTATTTCGGTTTGAGCTGGTATTTTTTAATATTTTATATATTAATATAAAACTTTAAATAAATATTAAAATACTATATATGAACATTAGTGAATGAG